GTTTAACAACAGTCACATTAAAATGAGTCAGAGCATCCACAAAATGTTGTGCAGTTTATAAAAGCTCACAGTTTAATTAGAGGTAAGATGGAAATAGTCCATAATGCTTCCTGTGTAAAGAGGTGGGGTTCCTTGAAGACTAGAGTAACCTAAGTCCTTTTAGTCATTAGCCTTCACTATAAGGTCAGGTAAAGGCAGCTGCTACCGGACACAGATTTTTGAATATACGCCTTTGCCCCGTTACAAATATTGCTAGTTAAATCATTTGAATTCCCAGGGTTTTCTTGTTGTTAATACTTAGGACTTGAGCTATTAAGGCATAAAAGTCCCTTTTCTTCGAAGCTCAGATCTGGTACTATCATAAAGTTTTGAAGAAGAGCACTAATAAAATGATATCCTCTTATATTTATAGCAAGAATGACCATTTACTTCAAAGAGTGATCTCCAAATGTGTGTATGTGTGTGTATTTTAGACATCGTAAAGTCAAATATTTGCTTAAAGCAATTTATGAACATTTGTATAAATTCTAAAAAGCAAAAAAAATCCTGTGTACAGCTAACAGTTAAATATTTTTATATTTTTGTGTGTGGAAACTTAAATAATATTATTGCAGACAGAATACAAATAAAATAACTTCCTATTACATTAGCTACATTTAAATAGCCTTCTCACGTCTTAGCTATGATAATTGATTTTCTAGATCAACATGATGGGCCCAGGGTACCCAGACACTGGGTCAAAACTTATTCTGAGTATGTCCTGAGAACATTTTTCAATGAAGATGATGTTTGAAATGGCAGGCTGAGTAAAGCAGACTGCTTTCTCCAGTGTGAGTGGCCCTTATCCAGTCTGTGGAGGATCTTGTTAAGGAACTAAAGGGATGACAGTTGAAAGGGCCTTTGAGCAAAGCCTCCTTTTCTTTGCTTGCCCTCCGACTTGAAATGCTGGCTCTTCCTGGCGCTCTCTGGCCCTGGCACAGGAACTGCACCATTGACTTTTTGGTTCCAAGGCCTTCTACTGGACTGGTGATTCACTATTGATTCTCCTGGAGAATGCAGATTGCAGCTTTTGTCAGCTACTTAACGACAGACATCAATTTCTTATAACAAATCTATAGACACATAAGTTGTTACATGAGTGCATTATGTACAGACAGAATAGGACACACACAGATTTCCTATTGCTTCTTTTTTTGCTAGAGAGCCCTGACTAACGCAGTGGCTAACTCTCTGCTGATACTAATCACAAAGGAGTTCATGAAAATAAAATGAATTTTTATGCTCCAAAATTCAAAAAGAAAAAGACAAACAGGTCTCTCATATCAAAAGTTAAAAGACTGTAAAGTTGTCAGTTTGGATATAAACAACTACAATAGAATTCATTTTGCTTGTCTAATTTTAAATACATTATACATTTATAAACTTTAAATTGTGAAGGGGAATTTCAGGGACTCAGCAGCATGTTAGATTTGAGGGACTGAAGAGTGACCCATCATTCAGGTGGGTCCTGAGTACTATATTACATGAGTTCACGCAGAAAAAAATATATGGTTTACATATACATACTACTGTACCCACATGTACACACATTATCACTGCCTCACCTCTGACTCGTTTTACATATGCTCATTATGAATCACCCTAAAGGACCGAAATGACGGCCTAAAGATGACCATCTGGATACACATTAGTACAGTGTTTCTCTATGTAAGATTTTGACGTAAAAACTCATTCATTTCTCACAAAAATCCCAGCAAGATGGGGCTTCTTAGTGTTTCCGCCTCACAACGAACACGAAGAAAAGTGGAACCAAGTTCTCTAACTGTGTCATATACGCACAATGGCTTTGTCTTAATTGTTACATTGAGAACTAGAAACAGTGGGATATGGGGGTGCACCGCTTTAATCCCAGCACTTGGGAGGAAGAAAGGCAGGTGGATCTCCATGAGACTGAGGCCAGCCTGGGATGGTCTACATAGGGATTTCCAAACAAACAAACAAAAACTAGGCACAAGCTAATGCTCTGCAGTTAAATGAAGAGGAAGACGTGGTAGAATGCCACGTATACACTTAGAAATGAAGATTATGTAACAGGAAAATGCACATGGTATTACCTTAGGTGAAAATAATCTAAATACAGAGTCAGTTCACACTCATGTGTGTGTATTTCAGCTCTTCATATCATCAAGAACTAGGACATGTGGTACGTGACACGGACCATTCTCTGAGAACTTCTTGGGTGGGTCTTCTTCTCTTTAGGGACTAGCTGGGCTGAGCATATCACATACTCAGGTGCTTTGACTCCTGGCTATCAAGGAAGCCCCACCTTCTGGATTCACTAGCCACTGTCCTAGTCTCTATTTTAGGCCCTGCATCGCCCAGTCATCAAGCCCAAAAGGCCCACGTGTTTCTTTACCACTGCCTTCCCTTGTGAACCTTGCCCCTTTGGGGGACAGGAGACCACCTCAGATGTCAGTCCTCACCTTCCCACCTTGTTTGAGTCAGTGTCATTTCCTCTTGCTTTCCGCTGCATACCCCCGCTGGCCTTGAGCTTTGGGGACGCGCCTGTCTCTGCCCCTCATCACACCTCCGGAGCACTGGGATTATAAATGTGCATGACCGAGTCAGGTCGGGATTGAGTGGGCTCCGGGACCTGAACTCGGCTCCTCATGGTTGTGTGGCAAGTGTTACACAGAGTGATCTCCCTAGCTCCTAAGAACATGATTTTTTTTAAACCCTCAGAATTTTGAGGGTTTTCAAGTTAGCCTGGAAAGTGAGTTCCGTGAATGGCACATCCTCCAGTGCCTTCGGAAAAGGCTAATATTGTGTCATCCTCTGACCCTCGGCAAATGCATCAAGTGCAGAAACTGTAACACTACTTATCTCCAGGCAGGTACCCCTGAATACAAAGCCCCCAAGCTCCAGACCCAGGTTCCGTGTGGCTGGTTAGATAGCTTTACACGTACATTCTGCCTTTGCCAACACTCACCACACCTGAAAACTCACCACGCTTCCCGATTCTCTCTGTGGCCTCCCTCTGATCTCTACGAATGAAACATGAACCAAACAGTCAAGTTCTGTCGAATAGGGCTGCAAACTGCATTTCTTTCCCAGCCTTCAACATCGCCTCTGGGCTCTAGAACAGAGCCTGTTCTTCCTCCCACACGGGCTACACATGCATCAGCCCATCTCTAGACTCCTACGTGAATTCAGTTCTTCTAGGGGCACTTTCCTGGTGACTTTCAATCAGATGTGTTGTCTACATCTTTAAAACTTCGTAACACTTATTTTCATTTGCAGTACAGCACTAATGACGTTTGACATATCTGTTTCATAGGTATTGGGCTGAATCACATGAAACTGCTGTCGATTGTGCTATATGTGGGTTCCTACATGTTTTGATGGAGCATCCTTTGGTTTCAGAGCCCAACCAGGTAAAGTGCGTACTCCTTGAAAATGGACTGCACTTTGCCTTTTTTACTGACCACCAGAGAACCCAAGCACTGGGAGTTTAAAAAAAAACAAAAAAACAAACACAATTATCAAAGTAAGACTCTTGACTCACGCAGTATCTCACACACAGATGTCTATACAATTAACTCACTGTAGCAGTTAGTCCAGCTGAATAGGAAATAGCTAAGCATCTCAATCATCAGCCTACACAGTAGAGGGAAGGAGCTTTAGGAACTGAAAGTTCTGGAAACATACTATATTTGGATTCAAGGAGCTGTTTTAAAACCATTTATTGTGAAGGAAACACTCAGGTTTAGACATTGGCAGGTACAGTGAAAAGCTTTTAAGTTGACTGAAATAAAAAAAAATCAAAACACTTTTTAGCACAGGCACTTCCCTTATGAAAACAAATTGTCTAAAAGAAAACCTCAGCACTTTGGCCACCAATGCGCGCCCCCTCCTCCCCCTCTCCCGGCACAGCAACAGCAGCAGCGGAGGAGGGGAGAAAGGCAGGAAGGCTTTGCATTTCACACCTTTGCTCCACAGCTTCTGTGTATGGCCACGTTCCAAAAGCACTTCACAAAGTAGCAAACGCCACCGTCAGAAGAGGACAGGTTGGACTGGACAGACTGGACTGGGTAGTCTGAGGCCCAGGCCTGAGCACCCTAGGGGTCCCACACATCTGTGATCCTGAACACAGTGAGATCACACACAGAGGACCCACTTCTAGTCACTTCAGTTAGTGGCATCGTGTCTGCTGACCCTCCCAACAAATCACTTACTGTTGCCCCATTTTAGGTAATGTCCTGTTCATCAACTGCCTAACCACTTCCTTTCATGCCTCTATAATGCACCGTTCCAGATGATGTAAATACAAGGGTGAAGGGGTCTCAATGGTACAGCGGGGGCTGGATGTCCAGGAAGTCCTGGGCAGGGAAGCAGAGGCCCACTGTCCACTCAGTACTGCCTCCGAGGCCTAGGCAAGGGGCAGCTTGATCTGGCTCGGAGATAGTACATACGCAGATGGACTTTAGCTGTGTGACTGACTCTGGCCATGGAATCCTCAGCCCTGTGGTACTGAGACCCTGAGCTGTAGTGTGCTAGGCTGCAGCCTTCACTGTCCTCCAGGGGTCACAGTTGGGTTATAAATCCCTCACAGAGCAGGGGCTGAGCAGCCTGACTGAGAACAATTTATTCCAATACTCCTTCATTAAGAGTCAGATGGAATAAGTAAGGTAGAAATTGAAAAGACCCAGGAATTGTGCTTTGCTGCCCGTAGTCGGTAAACATTTATTCACAAGCCCGGTCCCTCGCTTCTGTTTCCCTCTTTCTTTGCTCACAGTCGTTCTTCCAATCCTTCCTGCTTGCTGTTTTAATGCATAATTAAGAAGGTCAGAATTAATGAAGCAGTGTGGAGTAAAGTTCAAGGGATCCCCAGGCACTATTTATTCTATTAGATGTCGGGCATGAATGTCAGATTGGCAGCCTAAGCTGCATGGGCCATGGGACTCGCTGCCTCCCAGGACCCGCTGCCCAGGGAGACTCACCTGCACCGTCAGGCCATTCTGAAGCTCCTTCCCAGCAAAAATCACACGCAGCTGGTCAGCTGGAACCCCCTGTCGCTTAGCAACCACTTCCTTGAGCTGGAAGATGCTGGTGTCAGAATCGACCTCCACTGGGAAACCATGGCTGGAGTTGAACCTGACAAATACTGACCAAGCAAATGGGCAGGGAAGGAGAGAAGAAGGAGCGTCACTCCAAGCTTTCAGTGCTCAGTGCAGCCTCCCTCAAGCCAGCTGCCCTCACCCGCCCCTCAGTAAACCATATGCATTTCTTTCATTTATAACAGAGAACTTTATGCTATGGAGCAGTAGTTGGAAAGAGAAGAAACAGTCTTCTCATATTTGCCTTCCTCCTATACTAGTCAGTGACCCGCAAACCAAAAGTGCATCACTCCTTTGACATCCATCCTGGAAAACAGAGCAAGTCAAGTGGAAGGCTTGCTTGACTGGAATCAGGAAAATCCCATGACTTTACAGAAGAGTCTGCTCCAACAGTCCCAACAAACTGTCCCTCCACGGTCCCTCTTCATAAAAAGCAAAGGCAATGTGCTGGTGCTCCAGGAAGAAGGAGGGAAACTCAGCCACAGTGTGTAGAGAGTGAGAGAGCTTCCAGCTCTGGGCTCTGAGTGCCTAGCTCACAGGCTTCACTGGACTTCTGAGGACAATTATTTGTCTTTTGTTTTAAAGCTCATGACATCACCTCTGCTGTTGGAACCAACAGCTTTTCCCATGCTGTCTTCTCAGATTAACTGCCATCCCATCTCTCAAATTCACCTGCCCTTTCCAGCTCCCACCCTCTCCACTACCCTACCCCACCCTCTCCCACTGCCAAATCGCTAGATTCTCATTAAATACTTTCCATATCCATTCCTTAGCCTCCCAGGAGAGTCTATTTTCTAGGTTTTGTAATATATTCTTTTGTTCATTTTTAGTTTTTTTTTGTTTTGATTTGGTTTTGGCTTTTAAGACAGGGTCACCCTGTCGCCCCAGCTAGCCTGGAACACACTATGTAGACCAGGCTGGCCTTGATCTTATAGAGATCCACCTGCCTCTGCCTCCCGAGTGCTGGGATCAAAGGCCTGTGCCACACCTGGCTGTCTGAGTTTTTAATTAGCACACACAGTATTGGATAATGGTGATGACAGGGCATAGAATGTTCCAGGCAGGTTAAGGGACAGGGACCTCAATTCCTGCCTTTGGGCTGAAGCTGAAATTGTCCTTGGTTTTGCCCTGGCTGACGGCTGGAAATGCCAGAAGTGTTTGGGGCTCTGGCTCCGGCTCTCATCTCCTGTTGTCTACTCCTTTTACACAGTTGCTTGAAGATATGAGGCTGGGCCCAAAACTTTAGACACCTGGGATGGAGATGTACATGGATAGCTCATGGAGGAATCAACTAGAATAAATGTCCCAAGCCCCGTGTCAACCCAGAAAAGATACATTAAGGCCTAGATGGGGCTCTTAGTGGCAACACGTACTCAGGAACTTTTCTTGCTTCCCATCTTAAACTTTGTCTATGAATCTACAAAAAACTGTTGTCTAAGAATTTACTTTCCTGTTCTCCACGAAATGAACTCTTCATATTCTTTTTTAAAATATTTTATTTATTATTTTTATTTTATGTGTATGAGTGTATTGCCTGCACCTGTGCAACCATGTTGTGCAATGCTGCGGAGGTCAGAAGAGGGTTCCGATTCCCCTGGAACTGGAGTTAAGGATGGTTCGTAGCCGCCATGTGGGTGCTGGGACTTGAACCCTGGTCCTCTGCAGGAGCAGTCAGAGCTCTTCACCACTGAGCCGTCTCTCCAGCCCTATTCTTTTTTTTAATTATTAATTCATTTTTATTTTATGAATGAGTTGCATGTTTTGTATGTAAGTGCACCTGTGCATTCAAGGCTGGCAGAAGGAGTTGGATCCCCTGGAGCTCTTGACATGGAAGGTTGTGAGCTGCCATGTGGGTGCTGGGAATTGAACCCAGGGCCTCTGGAAGAGCCGCTAAGCTAGCTTTTCACCCACCTCACTCTTCACATTCTTGGGAAGCCACTGGCCCACAGTGGCTTTGGTGGCTGCTGATTTTCTGGGACCCTAGCTCCCAAGGTACGGCCTTGGAAGGGAGAAAGCCTCCGGCAAAGACCCCTGCTCCGTCCTTGCATCAGTATCCCTATGCTGCCTCCTAACAAAGCGCGTTTTAGACAAGCTCTTCCCCCTCATCTCCTCACCTTGTCCCCACCTGTAACCGTCCTCATCCCCGTCTGCTTTCACGTCACACAGACCTATTTCCCTATCCTCATTTCCTTGGACTCTCTTTTAGCCTCTCTTAGCTAATATCTTAGGTTTAACTCACATTAGACTCATCTCTGCACATAGATGCACACACTACACACTCAGATCTATGATAGAGAAGGCGCAGTTTCTGTTGTTCTGAACGTGGGTCACCCTGATTAATATAATACTTTCCAGATCCACCTATTTTCCTGAAAATTTCATAATTTCATTTTCTTTGCAGCTGAATAAAATTCCGTATGTGTGGACACAACCCCCTTATCCATTCTTCAGTTCAGATTCCCTGCTTATTGTGCATAGAAGAAAAGGAACATGCGTGCAACCCTGGGGTAGGATGCAGAGTCCTTCGGGTTTTGCCCAGAAGTGGTGGACCTGGGTTGTATGGTAGTTCCATGTTTAACTAGAGTTCTGATTCACACTCTAACCTTCTAAAATGCCCTAAGCCATTCTGTAGGAATGGGTCTTCTCAAACCTTTCTTCTGGCCTCTCAATACATTCAAATCTTTTAAAGTCTCACCCAGTTGCTGGGAAGAACAATCCAGGGCCTCGCATACAGCACAAATCTATATTCCAGAATTTTCTCTGATATGATGTTAAAACACATGGTTTCAAAAACCACGTCACAGAACTTGATCCCTGCCAGCCTCTTGCCTGTGTGCCTGTCTGCCCTCTTCCACACCTTCTTCTGAACACTGTGCACCTCCATGGCCCACTCTAGTACAACTTCCTGCAAGAAGGTTCCTGATCTCAGCTCTGGCCAGAGACTGCCTCTTCAGGGCTGCAGAGGCCCATCAAGCGTAACCCAGTCGGGCTGCAGAGGCCTGCACTCTTGTTTGCATCATCCGTCAAGGGAGCAGTAGAGCACAAAGCTTAAAAATGCATCTTTCAGAAGCAGGAAGAGCTACGTACAAACCCCACTGCTCCTCTGTTGGCTTACTAGGCTGGGGGTAAATATATTAACGCTCCCTCTTCAAGTCTCAGAGTCCCGAACTTGAAAAATTAATAAACTTTGGATGATGTTATGTGACACAATGAACGATATTTATAGTGCTTGGATAGTAACCTTCAAAATTAATGGGCATCTTTATGTGTCTCTATCGCATTTAAAAGCATCACTACTGCTGAGGAGTTCTCCGTTCAACTGTGAGATGACCCACTTAATAATGATAATAAAGTAAGAAGTATAATGCCAGTATCACCAGGTACTACCACATGCCAGATGTTACTCTGTTTCTTCCAAGCCTGTCCGTGATCGGGTCAGCGCAGTATCACTACCCAATAGAGCAGTGAACGCAGCGCAAAGAACTGCAATCCCTGTCCTTTGGCCCTTACTTCCTTGTAAGGAAATCAGAATTCAGCAGCAGCTTACCCTGTTCCTGCAGTAGCTGCCTGTGACTTTCTCAGAGGAAAGAGCATCATCCCTTTTCCTTAAGATAAAAAAGACCAACAACAGCAGCACAAACACTTTCTAATATAATTCAGAAATTCCCTGGACAGAAGGAAACAGCGACAGAAAAGAACAAAACAGCAAAAAGCTCCAGGAAGAGCTGAGATTGAGAACGAGGAACAAGGGCTCTAAGACGCAGTGAAAGGAAATGACGCCAAAATGGGAGCAGGTGGTGGACACAGCACAGCGAGAGCGGAAACCCAACGTAGTTTTACCAGCATGGGAAATATTTAGAACAAGTGAGGACTGGACGTGACAAAAATGTTTCCAACTAAGAAAATTCATGAAAAACACCAAATGTAGAGAAAACTGTGTTTTTCATGTACTTTCAAATAGATTTTATTCCACACCTTTGAAGATGCAGGTGGAGGAATAAAAATGCCCTGGTGGCCTGTGGTGTCCTCAGCGCACCTCAAATGAAAGAACAAAAGACGGGCAGTTCGTCAGGACCAGGGGCTACAAGGACAGAGACCTGGCAGATTCTAAACCTGGTTTCCTCTACTACCGTGAACAGACTTTTAAAAGCACAACAGCATAGAGGGATTTAGAAAAAGGCAACTGGGCAGAATGGTGAAGGTTTACTTAAAGGTAAACCAAGAGAGCCTATGTTGACGTTCCTCCCCACGGGTTCAAATCATAAAATTCTTACCGAAAGGCAGGAATTGAAAAAAAGAAAATTAAGGGGAAAACCCCACAAAATGGCAGTAAAAACCAAGATAAATAAGGAGAATCTGCACAGCGGTTCAAATCATCAGTATCTAAAGCTTTTACTGCTGTGCACACAGTCTCCATTTCACTTTGAGTAAATGGTACAAAGACTATAGAAATGGATGCTTTTGAACAGTCAGTCTGTGATACAAAACACGCCAAACCCAAATTAGGTACCTGGTCAACTAAAATATTTGCATGACTGAAAAGGAGCGTCTTAAGAAAGCGAGCAGGTCAGAGTCAAATGTCACCTAAAAAACGACCAGTTCGTTGTGCGGTGGAGTCTCCACTTCCTCCTGGCTCATTTCGGAATAGTGCCAGCTTCCATCTGTGTAACCCCCACCTCCAGCCGTGACTCCTGAGAGGGGAGGCAGTGCCTCCGGCCTTCTCCCTCATGGAAAGCACAGTCTCCTCAGAGTCAGAAAAGGAACAATCTGAATCCTGGTTAACTTACTTCCTACTTTTATAATTTAGCTTAGGGACTCAAACAAAAACAGACCCCAAATTAATATCAGCAGGAGGGCAAGACAAGTCCTCCTAAGGAGAACGTCCTCCACGCCGTAGCGGCCTAGCGCCAGCCCAGTAAATATCAAGAACACTCTCCAGTACTTAAAAATAGTCTAGACATTTACAAATGTCCCCTGGTGAGGCTTTCCTTCTTCACCTCTGAGAAGCTAAGCCTAGGATCCCTCCTTTGAAACAAATGGGAAAACC